GCTGGAGCCCTGGTGGTGCAGTGGTTAAAGCGTTCGGCTGCTAACCAACGGGTCGGCGGTTTGTACCCACCAGCTGCTTCAAGGGAGAAAGATGCGGCAGGATGCTCTTGCAAAGATTTATAGCCTTGGAAACCCTACGGGGCAGTTCTACTCTGTCGCTGTGAGTCAGAATTGACTCAAGGGCTGTGGGTTTGGTTTTTTGTTTTGGTAATATTCCAGCAGATGCAAGATAGAAGGTAAGACAGGGACTCAATTGTCAGGGAGAGGAACCGTGGAGCAGAGGAAGGGGCAGCAGGAGGAATGCAGTGGCCGGGTCCTGGGGACTCCGAGTCCAGCCGGAGCTGAGAGCTGCCCAGGCACAGAGGAGAAGCTGCAGCCTCTGCCCAGCACCCAGGCCAAGCCACCGCCTCTCCTGGGGCCCCTGCGCCCAGATGGAGGGGCTGGTCTCAGGGATGCCCGAGGGGTGGAGCTCAGAGAGAGGTTGGTCTTGCTCACCGTCCGCTTCTCCAGGACCAAACCTCATCTCTGGGGCTTGATGCGGACTTCATAGCTCCCTCCATCCATCTCCTGTGAAGCTTTGCCTCACTCCTCCCAGATCTCTAGCAAACTGTGATGCTGTTTGTTTCTGAACTCACACGAGAGGAGCACCACACCTGCGTCCGAGGTCAGGAGTGGAACGCCGAGCCCAGTCTCCGCTAACACCAGGTGTTCCCGGGTCCTTAGTTCCAACACAGTCATTCTTTTTGGTTGCTTTGTTGTTTTGAACACGTGGTTTTTGTTCGCTTGGTTTGTGCCTTAAACACCACCTCGGCAAGATGACTCTCCCAGAGAGGTGCCTATACCATAAGTGAACGGAACACGGCACCCACATCAAGAACAGAACATGACTGGCACCCCCCTCGTGCCTCTTCCAGACGCCTCCACCCTCGGGCACCCCTCCTGTGACCTCTAACAGCGTAGACTTGTGTTAGCAGGCAGCAGTCCATCCTGCGCTCGTGCAACAACCTGCCTTGCAGCGGGCTGCCTTTCATTTGAGAAGCTGAAGCTGCCGGGGCTCAGCAGGGCCGATCTGGGGCTGCTTTCCAGCAGGAAAGGACTGTGTCATCATCCCCATGAGCGCTCTCTCTCTCATGCGCACGCGTGCACAGTGGAGCCTCACAGCACTTCTAAAGCCCAGCACACATCCAGCGGCTGCTTCATTCTTCGGCCACCTGGGAGGAGCCGCATGGAGGAGGGCTGGCGCCATGGTGCATTCAGATGGTCCTCCTCTCTCCAAGGGGCCAGCCAGGCGTGGATTACCCAGTAAGCAAGGTAAACACGAGTGTCCGTGTTTTTCATGTGAAATTTTTCACTACGGATTAGGAAGTAAGCACAAGTAACCCTATGCTTACCTTGATTACTGGGTCGGTCATCCACCCCTGTCAGGAACTGTAAATGTGAAAAGGGGCTTTGATTCTGTAGGAAGGTGCTGTAGGGTTGGGAGAGAGACAGACGCCAGCCATACCTAGAAGCAGAGTCTCTGATGTGATGAAAATGTGAAATTGTTCACTCCAGATGATCTGGTAAGCACGGTAAGCACCGTGCTTACCTTGCCTGTTGGATAATCCACCCCTGGGCCATCCCTGACTTCAGCTTGGTGACTCAGTGTGGAGGATGGGATGGGGGATAGAGATCCCTTTCCATGAACTTCCAGAAATTCTACCATGTGCTCGGACAGCGGGAGGCCCCTGGAGCAGGATGACTCAGTGGTGTCTGCTTGCAAAGAAGCTGAGTTCTGCAGCCTGGGAACGCCAGCACGTGGCATTTGGTTGAACTTGCCCCAGTTCAGGGCAGCCCTCACCATTTGGAAACCATTCCTCCTGCCCCCCGGCACTATGCCGGGCCTTCTGTTTACCTGTGCGACTCTGGGCACAGGTGCCAGCTGCCAGCGGGGACCTGTTTGCCTCCTTAGCTGTCCTCCTCCACTCTCGTTGTCACTTAGGGCTGACTCTACATCGTTTCATTAATAAAAACCCAAATTTGTGTTTGTGCTTACCCTACGCACAGCACGCATCATTAGCCTCTGCCCTGTGCTTTCTCAGCAAAGAGCTGCTCTGACTGTGCAGGGCCGGGGGGACACAGGGCTGGCCAGAGCCAGTGGCAGGGAAGACGTGCTTCTGGATTGACTGGTCGATGTGGTTCAACAGAGAAGCCCTCCCTGGGGGAACACCACGCCACGGCTCTATGGCAGTAGGAATTTCCTCCCATACCTTCTTGACACAATGTCTCTCCTCTCTCCAGAACCATCTCATTCTTCCCAGGCGCACTTTAACAGAGAGGCAGGGTGTCTTAATTCTCTAGTGCTGCTATAACAGAAATGCCACACATGGGTGGCTTTAACAAACAGAAATTTCTTTTCTTTTTTTTTTTCTTTGTCAGTTATGTTCTTAGCATAAATCCCCAGAGGAGGAATAACTTGATGGGAGGGATGGATGTTCCTTGGCTTCCGATACATATTGCCAAATTGCTTTACAAAACAGCCATCCCAGTTTGCCACACCGCACGTAAAATCTCTGAGAGGAACATTTTCATAGCAACCTCACCCGCGCTGTCCTCGTCATTGAAGACAACTCAGTAGGTGAAAAATGGGCCTCATTGTTGTTCCATTTGCATCTCTTTGATTACACGTAGGGGTGAACAGTTTCCCATAGGCTTTACTAACGAGTTGCAGTTTCTTTAATGATTTTTCATGATCTCACTTCGGGATTCACAAGATTTTTGTTTCTCTCTGTAGACCGAAACAGTCACTTTCATCTTGACCTTCATCCCTTGTCCCAGTTCACTGTATTGCACTTTCTAGATGTCACTATGGGAAGCAACTTCCAAACTCAGGGACTGAGGAGGGGAACCTCGTGGAGAAATCCCAGGAGAGGAGTTTTAGACCCGAGTTCCCTCCCTAAAACCACTCATCACGAGGTGCGAGGAAACACCACTGCCTCTTTGACCCTCAGCTTTCTCACACGCTTCTGGTCTGTGCTAAAGTGGTGTCTCTTGGATTGGTTAAGCTTAATACAGGCAATTAAAGACTGTCTCTTCACTAACCACTATTTTTTTTTAAAATAGACTTTATTGTTTAGAGTAGTTTTAGGTTTCTAGAGAAATTATGCAGAAGTACAGAGAGTTCCCATATGCCCCCTCTCCCCATCGCACACTGTGTATCGTATTATAACCATCTTGTATTCGTCTGGTACATTTGTTACAATTGATGGACCAATAGTGATAAATTATTATTAACTAAAGTCTGTAGTTTACGTTAGGGTTTACTCTTTACATTGTACAGTCCTATGGGTTTTGACGAACAGAAATTTATTTTCTTACAGTTTAGGAGGCTGTCAGTCCGAACTCAGGGCGTCTGCTCTAAGGGAAGGCTCTCTCTCTCTGTCGGCTCTGGGGGAAGGTCCTTGTCTCTTTGAGCTTCTGCTCCTGGGCAGTCTTCACGTGGCTTGGCATCTCTTTCCTCATCTCTGCTTGCTAGTTTGTGTTAAATCTCTTTTATATCTCAAAAGAGACTGACTCAAGATACACCCTACGCTAATCTTGCCTCATCAACATAACAAACACAACCCTTTCCCAACAGGATGATAACCACAGGCATAGAAGTTAGGATTTACAACACATATTTTGCGGGGGGGTAGGGGGGCGGACACAATTCAATCCACAACACAGGGAGTCCTGGAGAGACTTATTTCCACTATACCTGGGAGGCCAGTAAAAGAGATAGGGCAAGTTACCTCTGACTCTTCGGCCGGAAAGATCTGGAGAATCAACTCTAACAGTGTACATAAGAACCATTTGTGGAGTGAGTTAAAAATACAGGTTTTTCAGGCTCTCTCCTCCCCCAGGTCCAGGGTAAGGAACGGAAATCTGCATTTTTGGAAAGCATTCCAGGTGATTCCGATATAGGTGACCCCAAGCCACAGGTTAAAAAAGACTGATCTGGACAAGCCTTCCCTCCTCTTACAGATGGGGAAAGTGAGATTCGGTATATCTGGGGTGGAAACCCAAATTCTCAGCAGAGGCTCAAACCAGAATGAACCAGATCAAAGCTCTGTTGTCAGCAGGCCACAGCCAGTGCCTCCAAGGCTTTAACTTCTGCAAGGCAGTTCCACCCTCCTACTCATCATCATAATCTACCTTGTGCGTCTTCCATGACTCTGCCCCTAAGAAGACACTATTAACATTCCAGCACTTGCCAGGGGCCCCAGGCTCTTATCCTCCGCTTCCTGTTCTAGCCAATGACCAAATTTCCAATTTATTAACCACCACACCACCAGGGCTCCTTATTGTTCCTAAAACACAGGCTTACTTCCTATCCTGCCCCAGCTGAGTCGATTTCCAGCTGTTTTCTTGCAGGCCTGGTGAAACCAGAGACGGCCAACATCATCTTGACCAAATCCCACCAGAGACCTCATCCCAGTATTGGTGCTCCTCTCTCTCCATTAAAGACAAGGACTGACCGTCCCCCCTTAATCCGTCGATTGCTCGCAAACATGGCAACAACAAGTTAACGCCAGACACACTGACAGCCTAAAATCTGAAGTCTGAGCCAGACTTTCAGAAAGGAGCTATTAGTCTTTGTTTACTGCAGGATAAATGCACTAGCGGGGAGGGAGGCCCCCTCCTGCGCAAGAGTACCTGGGCATCTTCACCCGGTAGATGTGTTAGAAACTCTTGCAGGACTCTGGAAGCCTTTACACTATGACTCACAAGTTCAAGTGCACAGACCAAGCTCAACTGCTTGGAGAAAGTGCCACGTGCAACCTGTGCTTCTGAAGAGGCGAAAGCCTGCAAGGAACCAATCTTTAGAGGAGCCTTACTACCCTCTCTTCACAATGCAAGAACCACTCTTCTTCATCCTCCCCCCACCCACCCCGCCAAAAAAACCCTCCCCAGAGCATGACATTTGCGGCTCTCTTTAAACAGCACAATCTCCTCAAAAAGGATTGAAAATCTCTACTTACCAACGTAGGTCCACTTGGATCCTGCAAAGAACAAAACAAAGTCAATAAGTACAACTGAACTTGAACAAGTTAGAGAAAACACTACAGGTGCTATTTTGAAATAAGTGAGATTGAAAAGGAGGTAGATGCCCAGAATTAAAACCTTTTCTGAGTCTGTGTCAGTATAACTGCTTCTTGGAGCAACTGTGTTCCAGAGGGAGGCTCAAGGACGATGATGGTCATGCAAAAGTTTATGCGTTAGGAAGCATCGTGGTGTTCATGCAGGGCTGATGGGTTAGGGAGGACAGTGATGTTCATGCAGGGGCTGATGGGTTAGGGAGGACGCTGGTGTTCATGCAGGGCTGATGGGTTAGGGAGGA